ATTACTTGCAAGAAACAAACATATTAAAGAACATATCACAGGTAGCTTTGCCAAATGCACATTTACAATCAAAGTATATAGTTTTCTTTTTTTCCTTAACATATCCACACACACACAATCACATATATATGTGTGCGCACATATATATGTACGTATATGTATGTATGTATGTATGTATGTATATATCAGTCCAACTGCTCATATCAAACTTTAAAATGAGGTGTACTGGTAAAAAACTCCTTGAAACTCTTTTGTTTAAAATTCTGTATCATGTCAATACTTTTTTTCCCAGTTGAAATGCAGAAACTTTGACGAAAAAAAGAATCTGGATAAAAAAAATAGGCATTATTTTCTTTTCTTTTTTCCTTTTTTTTTTTTGGTATGCAGCAAAATGTTACGCTTTGAACTTGTTTGATTCCATATGTGTTGCATTTTTTTACGTCAAGGTATAGTAAAATTATTAATATGATAAGAGGGAATCTAAAAAAAACGTCGTTTACATACATCAAATAAATTCCTTCATTAAAGTCTTTAATTAAAAATGTAATCAATAAAGAGAATTTATAAAAAAAAATCCTATTGTCATTAGTCTTCAAAGGAGCCGAAAACAATAAAATCCTACTGGTTTATGAACATTTCTTTCCAGTAATACTTCACATCAAGGACACATAAATCCTCAACGTGTCCTTACGTGTCCTGCATCAACCGAAGCTCCGAAACAAACGGAACGAAATTATTCAAATTATCATTACCCTTTTTTTTTCTTTTTTTTCAGAAATACTTCACATCAAGAATCCTAAATAATCCAAAAAGAAAAAAAAATGAAAATGAAAATCTCAATCGTCTTGAATTGAACCGAAGCACCGAGGAAAAGAAAAAGAAAAAGAAAAAAAATACAAGAAAACAAAAACGCATCGAAACCGAGACCGAAACCGATTCACGCGACTCCCGAGCGAATCCCGCCTCGTTCAACCCTCTTTAATAATACTCCGAGAAATCGAATCCTGTCACGTATTCCAGCCATCCTACGTAGAACGGCAGGAGGACGTTGCCTGAAGGATAACCCACTTCGCATCCGTACGCCGCCCCGAAAGCCAGCACGCCCACTTGCAGCCAGCGCCCGTCCACCATCAGCATCTGGGCTGGTGACCCGCTGTCTCCCTGGGGGTTAGAGGTCACGGGTCAGAGTGCGGGTCAAGGAGGGGGGGGGAAGAAGAACGTGTTTGTTAGGAGTTGATGGTTGATTATTCTGGTCTTCTCTATACGAGTTATGGCTCTATCTATTTATCTGTCTAACTTTATCTTTATCGCTATCGCTCTCTCTCTCTCTCTCTCTCTCTCTCTCTCTCTCTCTCTCTCTCTCTCTCTCTTGCTCTCTCTCTCTCTTGCTCTCTCTCTCTCTCTCTCTCTCTCTCTCTCTCTTTCTCTCTGTATATATATATATGCCTCTATGCATCTATCTATCCGTCTGTCTATCTCTCTTCACACAAACATCCTCCTCCTCCTCCTCCACCACCACCACCTTTACCTCTTCTCTCATCCAATCCATTCCTTCTCTACCCCCCCCCCCCCCCCGCACTACTCCATCCTTAAACACACACACACACACACACACACACACACACACACACACACACACACACACATACACACACACACACGCACACAAACACACACACACACGCGCACACAAATACACACACACGCACACACACACACACACACACACACACACGCACGCACGCACGCACACACACATGCACACACACACACACACACACACACACACACACACACACACACACACACACACACACACACACGCATCTCACCCTGCAAGGTCCATGGCCGCCCTCGCCCGACGTACACATCATGGTATCAGTCATGAGGCCGTAGTAATAGTCGCAGAAGTCGTTGGGGAGGATCTGGACGGACACTCCACGCAGCATCTGGGCCACGGTGCCATCTGCGAGGAGTGGGGGGAGGAGGGGAGGGGGAGAGAGCGAGAAGCAAGATGAGATGAGATGAGATTGCGTGAGATTTTTTTTTTTTTTTTTTTTTTTTTTTTTTTTTTTTTTTTTTTTTTTTTTTTTTTTGAGTGGGGTGTGGTGTGGTGTGCGGCGTGTGAAGTGGTGAACTATATATTTTTTTTCTTTAAGTTCTGTTTTTGTTTTGTTTAACTTTTTTTCTAACATGTTTTTTGTTTTCTCTCTGGTTGTCGCTTTTCGTTGTTCTGTTTTTTTTTCAGTATATTTTTTTCTTTGCAGTGTTGAAAAAAGGAGAAAGATGATTGATTAAACTATATCATATTATAGATGTTACATTATGTCTATCATATTGTACAGATATATATGCGTATATAATTGATAGATAGATATATGTATATGTATACACGTATATATATGCTCATATCTAAATTTCTATATCTTTTTTTGTGTGTTAGAATACATTATGAGGAAAAACTAGGAAGAAAATTATTTATCTTATGGTAAAAACAAGATTTTGAAGAAAAAAGTTTTTCATTGTGTTACGAGATGGATTTAACACAAAAAGCATATAAATATATATGAGAACAGGGAAACATAAATCTGTTCAGTATTTGTTATTTATGATCAGATTCACAATGGATGAATTATGTAGACAAATATAGAGACAGACATACGGGCCGACGGACAGACAGGCAGACAGACAGACAAATAAGCAGACAGACAGACAGATAGACAGACAGACAATCAGACAGATAGACAGACAGACAGACAGAGGCAAGAGATGACTAAGTTATATCTCGGGAGGGAACGAGAAAGGGGACAAAAGAGAGAGAGTAAAAAAATGTAGACAAAAGAAAGAAAGAGATGCTAGCCTACAAAGAGGATTAAACAGAAGAGAAAAAGAGAGAAAGAAAGGAGAAAAAAAACAGACAAGCTTAGAGATGGAATATCAAAAAGAACCATTTATCATAGATCCTCACCTTTTGGAAGAGCCCCAATTCACATTGAATAAACAAAACTTTCAATAGAAAAAACATTTAAAAAAAAACATACATGCAAGGAAATATTTCAGAGAAACTTTTTTTTTTTTACGAACCGTCGTCGATGGTTCCCCAGCCGAAAACGGAGACGTTGCGGTTTTCGAAGGCTTTGTGAATAATCGTGTGAGACTTGGGAACTTCCGTAGTTACCCCTGTCGTCGCGCGAGAAGAGAAAGAAAACGGGCATGATATATTTTTTCGTTATTTTTACCGATTCATAACTTCGACAATTCGTGCATTTTTACATCAAGACTGAATATTAAATACAAAACATACGACAATGAAAAAAAAACACAAAAAAATCCCACTTAACATCATAAAATAAAAAAACACATCCAGCGAAAAAAAAAATAAAATAAAACAAAAATAAAAAGATCTGACCTTTATCACTGCTTCTAACTGACCTTGCCTGACACCCTGGATGTCCTCGTGACCTTCGATGACCCTGGCTACGGGCGTGGTAGTCTCCTCCTCCAACGAGCGAGGGAGGAGGTTAAGGAGGTCGATGTAGTCCCTCGGAGGAATACAGATGGGCGCCACGTGCTCTGATCGGGGGGGGGGGGGGGGGGGGGTGTATGGCGGGTTTAATGTTTTTCGTTATCTTTAAAACTGGTGTCGTTATATGGTGGTGATGGTGATGATGATGATAGCAATAATAATGGTGACTGAAATAACAATGTTGATAATAATAACAGTGATGATATTAACGAGATCATAATAATAGTTGTAATAATGATAATAATAATAATAATAACAATAATAATAATAATAACAATAATAATAATAATAATAATAATAATAATAATAATAATAATAATAATGATAATAATATTGATAATGATAATGATAATGATAATAATAATAATGATGATTCATAATGTATATCAAGATTATTGTTACAACAATAGTAGTATTAGCATAGTAGTATTAGTACCATCAGCATTACCATTATCATCATAATAACAAAAACAACACTATATACTCACGACTAAAAGCAATGCTCTGGGGAAGTTTAGCCAACGCGATGTCATTGTTGAGTGGCGATGGTATATTGAAGTCAGGATGTACATAAACTGCCTCGACACGGAAGAACTTTTGCGACGGTGTCAGAGTGTACAGGTTGTGGTCTCCCAGCAACATGGCTATGGTTTCAACTGGTACGCTGGGTGAGAAAAAGGGGGGGGGAAAGAGAGAGAGAGAGAAAAAAAAGATAAATTTGGTTGAATAAAGTTATGTGTGTGTGTGTGTGTTCGGAGTTGTGTGTGTGTTTGGTTATGGTGTACCAATAGTTTCGAAATCTTTCTGCTATTTTATGAATGGATGGGTGGATAGATAGATAGATAGATAGATAGATAGATAGATAGATAGATAGATAGATAGATAGATAGATAGATAGATAGATAGATAGATTAGATAGATAGATAGATAGATAGATAGATAGATAGATAGATAGATAGATTAGATAGATAGATACAGATATATGTATATATACATGTATATGCATATTCATATATTTTTTTTCTTTTTTTTATTTCTGGCGTGTTGTTACTTTTTTCGAAATTTAGGGAGAACTCAGAAAATACTTTGTGGTTTTAAGATAAAGTACCGTTTTTAAAACTAGAAACTGTATATAAAGCTATATCTTACGCGCAAAAAGTTGTTATGATATAAGAGAGAAAAGTATCTACCGTGTAAAAAGTTAAGTGGATAGTTCGACATTTTTCAGTTCATCCAACCATAAGAACGAGTTTGGGAAATTATTACGTGCTACTGGATTTCGAAAGATTTAGTCCCTTGGCTTGGAGTAATTTCTGATCTGCTTTTGATCCTGATTTCGTTTCGTGGAAATATATCATAGTAAGTGTTTCTGGGCCAAAAACAAAAGCAAAAAAGGGGGAAAAACTGAAAATAGGAATGTAAAATGATTGGAAATGGGGAGAGATAAAATATTGGATAAATACAGAGAGAGAGACACATACAGGCATAGAAACAAAGAAACTGATGACATGGATGTTAAGAGATAGACAGAGACAGAAAAGACAAACAAACAGACAAACGGCGACGCACAAAAGACATAAAAGAGGTAGGAGTGTGACCAACGACCCATCCAAAGACGATCTCAAAGAAGGACTTAGAACAGGACGATAAAAAAAGAAAAAAAAAACGAAAAGCACAAAACAAAAGAGGGATGGAAGGCCATAATTAATCCTTAAGATCATCAGTAACCTCTTAGAAGAAGATAAGGAGTATCTGTATGTTTTCTGGAGGTAAGCGAAGAGTATCCTTTGTGTTAAAGGATTGGGGGAGAGATACTGCCATTACAGGTTCAAAAGGGAAGAGTTTTTTTTTTTCTTTCTTTTCTTGATGCGTGACGAATATTTTTTTTTTTTCTTTTTTTTTTTTTTTTTTTTGCTTTTTTTTTTTTGGGGGGGAGGGTCCTTTCTTTCTGTTAGGTGCGTCTTCTTGAATGCCCATTTTATATAAAAGATTGTGTCCTGTAAGTAGGGGGTGATTATGTCTTTGTGTCAGAGAGACAAAGGGAGAGAATAAGTGTGTAAAAGAAAGAGAGAGAGAGCATAGGTGCCTAACTTGGTAAAGCTTTCTTTATTTATAATATTTGTTAAATTTGTGCTTTTTAGATAAAGTACCTTTTTTAAAACTAGAAATTATATATAAAGCTATATCTTACGCGCAAAAAGAGTGTTATATAAGAGAGAAAAGTATATACCTTGTAAAAAGGTTAAGTGGATAGTTTGACATTTTTTCAGTTCATCCAACCATAAGAACGACTTTGGGAAATCATTACGTACTACTGGATTTCGAAAGATTTAGACTCTTGTCTTGGAGCAATTTCAATTTTATCTACATATATTTTTACAGTGCTACAGGTGCAGTGACCTCGGATATTGTCGATACAGAAGGTTTGCAAGCGGACGAGTTACATAAAAATAACCATTGCTTTTAATTCATTGCTTCTATTAAAGGCTATGAAAGTGGTGATGAAATTTTGATACGATATATGTATTTGATATGTGCAGACAGAAATAGAGATAAAACATAACCTGAGTAGAAATGGATATTTGATATATCACACAAAAAATGGAAAATTGAAGGTGAAAATCCTCAACTTAAACCACCTCACTCACTCACACACTTATTTACTCACTCATTCACTCACTCACAATCTCATCCACCCACCCACTCACTCACTCACTCTCACACACTCATTCACTCTCTCACTCACTCACACGCTCATTATCTCACTCACTCACTCTCATACAAACTCATTTACTCACTCACTCACTCACTCACTCACGCACACTCACTCAGTCTCACTCACACTCATTTACTCACTCACCCATCCACTCGTTCACTCACTCACTCACTCACACACTCACTCATTCACACACTTACTCCCTCACTCACTAACACATTCACTCACTCAATCACTGTCTATCTATCTATCTACATCCCTCTCTCCCTGTCTCCTTCCACAGATCTTCCTACCTCCTAACTATGCATCCACAATATAGAAAACAGAACGCGACACTCTACCTAACGAGGCAGTGAGCTCCAGTGAGAATCCATTGGCTGTGAACGATGGTTCCTCCGCATATGTGGCAATAGTGTTCCATGTATTTGCCACATACCTTCAGCACGGCAACCTGGAGGGGATGGGGGGAAGCAGCATATTTGTTATATATTCCATTTCTTTTATCTTCTTTTCTTTCCTTTTTCTTTTTCTTTTTCATTCTGTTGCAATATATGTACTTTAGTGATCATTTACACACCATCCAACGCGAGTGGCCATTTACACACCATCCAACACAAGTGGCCATTTACACATCACCCAACACAAGTGGCCATTTACACACCACCCAACACAAGAAGTCACTTACACACCACCCAACGCGAGTGTCCATTGACTCACCACCCAAAACGAGTGCTCATTTACACATCATCCAACTCAAGTGGCCATTTACACACCACCCAACACGAGTGTCCATTGACTAACCATCCAAAACGAGTGCTCATTTACACTTCATCCAATACAAATGGCCATTTACACACCACTCAACACGAGTGTCCATTGACTCACCACCCAAAACGAGTGCTCATTTACACACCACCCAACGCGAGTGTCCATTGACTCACCACTCAACACGAGTGTCCATTGACTCACCACCCAACACGAGTGTCCATTGACTCACCATCCAAGGGAACTCGTGCTCCGTGGTGGCAGCTCCTCCGACTATTCTGGTTTTCTTGTTGCTCACCCCACACTTCCCTGCCCAACCGTCACTGTGGGTGAAGTGTTGGTGTTTATGGTTAGAGAAAAGATGGTAAGAAAGTGTTATTTGATAGTGATGATTGAATTTTTTAGTATTAATATGATGGTTATGGTTATTTTTTATTGTTTATTTTTTTGTTGTGATAATTATATTGTTATCGTTATAATTGTCAATATTTAT